TGGATTTGGTTGGTTGAAAGACCTTGCATGCATGCTACACTTACTAATTTAGATTCATGTAATAAACCTTGCCAAAGGAGTAGTCTTGTTAATTTGTGATAGTTTGTTGCTAGATTATGATAGTCATGATATAATGATATACAGTATTCTCTGCAGACTGAATGTTTTAACGTATTCTTTAGCTAGAAGTTTTCCTTGCCGATCTTAGAGTCTTAACTTAAGCTTAAGTCCCAAATGCAAATTATAATGTAAAATTGGTTCATGCTTTCCACGGTTTCCTCAAGCGTTCTCTGATTTGCCGTGCGTCATTGGTTTTGATGTTTTCTATTTGTTGGAATCCATGCTTCTGGTATTTCGGCTCCGTTGTTGCTGTTTATGTTAACGTTGTTTGGTTAGGTCTTATTTGAATTGCCTCTTTCACTTTCCTTGTACCAATGGTTGTCTGGGTCAATAAACTTTATTTCGTTCCACAGCAGCTTGTGTCTGGCTCCGTTAGCATGTTCTGAAACCACAGAATTCTGAGTATGTGCGAGTCGTATATCCCTGTCATGTTCTAGCTTTCATTCTTTTATCATTGTGCAGGGGTCATCCCATTTCTCCGATGTGGAGTTTGCCGTATGTGAATGGTATCTTGGAAACTACACCATCTTGCTTGTTTGGGTAAGCGAGATCTTTTGGTCTGACCAGCCGAGATCTGAGTGTTATGTTGGACTTGCAGATGGTATGTATACCTTGTTGTTGTAGGTTGTGGCGGAGGGTTTCTGAGACTCCTTTGATGTATGGTGGAGCTGCGGTAGACTTGAGTTCTGCTGTTTTCCTCTCTGGTGCTGGATCCCTTGTTTTGGTCACCCTCTGCAAGAAAGATGGAGGGTAGCTGTTGGCAACGAGAACCTTAGATAGATCTTTCTTCTCCTGGGCTATTCATGATAGCTTGCATTGATGATGATGCCTGAGGAACCCATTGTACACGGAAACATTAGCCGGATCGAAATGCACCTATGGCAGCAGACCACCACGGAACCAGTCGAGCCAAAGAACATTCTAAAGGTCTTCCACACCCAGCCAGTGAACCGAAAGCGAAACAAAGTGTTATTTCTTTCAGAGAATCATTAATTAAACGTTACAAAAAAGCTCTTATCGAAACGTTCCATCAGGACAATGTTTTTACTTGGAAGTCCTTGTGGCCTAAATGCTTTGCCACCAGGAATTTAATTGGTTTCCGCCAGTGTTGCTTCTAATTACTTATAAACTATTATACTTACGTATATTTTATATATTTCAGGAATTTNAGTACCAACTCATCCCCTGGAAGAGTCTCCCACTGGTTGCTGTGACAGCACTCTTCATGTTGAGCCAGCACCAACAATTAACAATCATAATTACATTTGCACTACACATGGTCCAATGCCCTATTGAGGATATGCTTTTTGCAGCGCAGGAAAGAGTACATGAACTTGAAAGTAAGATTTCTCTGCATAATGCACATCCATTGTATGTACAGTTGCACACTAGACCAGATGACATTACAAAGTTTTACACAGGATTTCCCTCCTATCAAGTCCTCTATGCCACGTGTCAAGTTCTTCAACCAACTGCTGAAAAGATGTTATCTTGGTCACAAATGCAACGTTTAAGAAACAAGGGAATAGAAGAAGTTGATCAATTAAGAGATGCCATCAGAAGTTGTAAATTGAATTTGTTTGAACAGTTCTATCTCTTTTTACATTAATTACGGTCAGGTTCATTTAACCAAGAACTGGCTGACAAATTTGATATTTCTATTGCAACAGTGAGTCGTGTTATTCTTTCTCGGTCAAATTTCTTGTATTTCGTGTCTGGTACCATACCAATTTGGCCCTCAAGGGAAAAAATCCAGAAACAGTCATGCCAGAGTGTTTTAAACAGATCTACCCAAGGTGTCGAGGAATCATTGATGCTTCAGGAATTAAGACAGAGGCACCATCAAGTTTAGTCCTCAACAGCGAGTTCTACTCATCCTACAAAAGCCACACTACATACAAAATGTTACAGTAGTTTCAGGGTTAGCCTGTTGTTAGCCATGCTGTGTTTTTAATTCATCCTTGTACTATGACATGTAATTTCTTTAGTTTTGACAAATATCAAACTCTTTGAATGATTTCGGATCCTGTGATCCTTAACTCTGTTCAAAATGTTAAAAGCTGTATGAAGAATTTTGCCACAAATATTACACTACGCTAAAGAGTACTTTAGCCTTAAATACAGGTACATCAAAAACTGTCAAACAGGTTTCTTTCATGTAACTCATCAAGTTCATTTTCAGCTGTGCAAGCCCTTTGTAGTTCTTAATGGAAGATGGCACATCTGATGTGAAACAGTAACATGTGGTAACAACTAACAACCACCCATTGTATCTCGACTGCTGTAGGATTCACTATTTGGAAGCCACGAATGCAGGAAGGTAGTAACAGAAATAAAATAAATTAAGTTTTTCCATCGTGATTGAGAAAAACTCAATCATAATATATCTGTTCATAATGAAATTCCTTTTTGCACTGAACGAAAAAGTCTGACCACCCCTCACCAGTAAGCCCTACACAGCCCATGACCTGAAAATAATACTGGTGGCTCTTTTTTAGGGAGTAAACTCCTATTGTGGGTTTTTTTTTTTCAATTATTTTATATCCTTGAGCTCTTCTGCCATGGAGAATTTAATTTCAGAAAGACTTTAAGGTGAACTCTCTTAAGGGTCATATACCCTCCTATCTGGACTTCAACCAAGATGAGGGACTCTTGGATTAATCACAAAACCAACTTTACAAACAACCCGACCAAACTTTTGAGCATAAAACTGTGCAACTTCATCCTCATGTTCTAAGCCATACTTCATGGCAGCTGTTTGTATTGTCGTTCCCTTTAACAATCTGGTGGCAAGAGCTTCAAAATCTTTTTGCCTAGAGCAAATACTTTTAAAATTTGATGCAGTAAGGCGAAATTTCCTTAACCGATACCAGTCTTTGCTGAATGATTTTTCCCCAGTTTGAAGCTCAAATTCCTTTGACTGTTCATCTGTAATTTGGAGACTATCAAAATGGAGTTGCTGACTCTCGTCTAACACAGTGGGTGGATATTGAAGGTAAGGAAAGTTGAAAGCAGGGGCAGAAATATCAGATTTCTTTGCAGTGAGTGATTGTTGATATGACAAAACAGAGCCTTTTGGTACTAATCCAAATCTACAATGAACCAAGGGAGTGTCCTGTCCCTGCTCAGGCCAAATTCTCAAAAAGCCAGACTCAGGACTACTATCCTTAATGAGGGGTCCAAGTGCTGCTGGTATATTAAGTTCTGCTAGTGACTGTTTAAATGGTTTATATAGCTTTGGTGTGACACCAGTTAATTTTTGTTTCTTCTTAGATTGGATGTCTGTTAAACATGACAGTTTTTCCACAATAACTTCTGTCAATGGTCTTTGCTGAATCCCATCTAGTCTCTTGGGAATATGCCATGTCTTAACAAGTAAAACAATTGGCGCTATTGCCAGGCTTGGACACTTTGTACCCCTGAATACTTTCCGTTACACCACATATACATAACTCTTATTCAGCTCTACTTATATTATTGTATGGCATAGTTGCTTGGGGCCAAGCTGCTAAAACTTACTAAAACAAAATTCTTATTCTTCAAAAATGTGCTTCTCTGCCTCATGTTCTTTGGTGACTACAATTCTCATGCAGTACCTTATTTTGTCTCCTCTAGCTTTCTTCCCTAAGATCTATTCTACTTTAAATCCACTTTGTTATTCTAGCTACTGCATGATACACGTATATCTAACAGCTTAACACCTACTAAGATATCTAACTTATTTGCTTCCCAATCTAATATTCATTCATATAGCACAAGATTATCTTCAACAGGTGACTATATATATGTTAAACACTCAAGGTTAGACAAACAAACTACAGGTAAGTCTTTTCTCAAGGTATGGCCTAAAAAACCTGGAATAGTTTACTGTGTGAAATCAGTCAAATGTCCAAAAGTAACTTTCAAATCAATGTCCACCACACTTCACTCCAAATAATTTCAGAAGAAAATGATTATAGTAATTTACCTGACTTAAAAACCAAAATTTCCTGAAAACTTGGCTTATATTTTCAATGTCTACTTAATTAAATTGAATTTATTCTTATTTAATTGGTTATTTATTTAACATATTTTTCACTCTGTTTCGCTAATCTTTCTTGCGAGCCATTTATATTTGTATATATATAACATACGTGTAACCACTGCTCATCTCGACTAAGCTAGTCTGCTAATTGCAAGCAGTGGATATTGCTTACTATAACATTTGCCATAATTAATAAGGTTGATTTGAAAGCTGAAAGTTGTTAATATCATGGAATGTATTAATTAGAATCTTTTGGTTAAGGAAGAAAATGTTGTCAGTTCTGTCTGTTTACAGCAAGCGATCTATATTGCTTGCAATTAAGCTGCTTTTAAATGTTTTTGTTTTTTCAGATTAGTTTGAATATCTTTTTGTGCTCTAAACAGGATATGTGATAATTGCAGCTTGTATGAAGAATAAGCTGTGAACTGACTTTCTTGGCACCCTTATACTCAGGGACGTCTCTCTTTGGTCCAAAACTGATCAAAATAGAGTCAGGCTCCTCGTTCTTTTTCATGCTTCGAAAACAGCGGGAACGAATAGCACATCCAACTTCATTTGTAGAGTTCCTTACTGAAATAAAACGGCAAACTCAACTAAGATGGGTTCTAAAAGGTTTTGGAGAAAGTGATGCAAACTAACCTTCATTATTACACGACTCGGGCAGTCAGAGGGCCAATAACTAAAATCGACCAATCAAAATGCTCTATTGCCGGTCCAATATTCTCTAAGTATTGGACCGGGCACTGTCCCAAATGGTCCCGAATGATACCACACTTGTGTCCCTTTGAACTNATCTGAGGAAAGAGACAAGTCACCATCCTAAAATAAACACTGATAGGTTCAAAAACACGTTTGTCAATCGCTTAATTTTTAAACATAATCTGATCTTATAATTTTTATCTTGATTTTCTCTGTAATTTATATATATAGCTTCTTTTAATGATGTAACACAGGATATGTGACTATTTATCTTATGACAATAAAGATTCAATTCAATTCAATTCAATTTACAGTGGAGTGCGATACTGCGAAGGAAGTCTTTAGGAGATTTTGCCAAAGAGAAGGACAGTATTTTGCTTGTGATCAGATAAGAGTAGAGAAGTACACAGTTAATTTTAGTTGGATTGTTCCAAGACTAGTCGCTAGCTCGTGTTAACTTATCTCCCTTTCTTTACCAGTAAATAAATTGTGTTTCGTGGAAATAGCGAGATTATTATCTTTCTGCTGGTAATCAGTTACCGTAACAATATCTTGAACAACCACACAGATATATCGACTAAGTTACATAACTTTAGGTTGAGAAAAGTTATAATATTGAATGCCACATTAAACTAAGTAGTTAATATTCAATAACATGCAATTATAACACTAAGCTTGTGTTTTATTTACAATAAACATAACAGGAAAAAAAGAAAATTTTCACTATACAGCAGGAATGTTATTAACTACAGAACCCTAAACTCCCGGAAGTGATTAACATGTAACTTCTCCCTATAATATCCATACATGATCCAGCAAACAGGTAATGAGAATACTCAAACTTATCAGGTAGAAGCTTTTACCTTGATTGAACACCAAATTCTCCAGCATTATCAATCAGATCTTGGGAGTTATTGATTAAACTGGTAAACATTTTCCATCTGGCTTTCAATGCATTATCAATATATTGATTATATGACCACATTTTTTAAGTGTTAGAGGATTGAATGGCCTTCTAAAATTGACTCTGAAATCATGACTATTCAACTAGACAAAGCACACAGGCTGTATTCATTTCCCACTCACATTTTAAGATTGGCTTAACATATTATTAGCCAGCCACGCTCTATCTATGCTAATCAATAAATCAATTGAATTTGGATAAAGCTTGCCATAGTAATTCCAATTTACAAAAGTGGTGATGAAACTGACCCCTGACCAACTGTAGACCATAATATTGCTTGAACTCTCCATCTCAATCTAACTGTATCTTCAAAAAGATGATGTATAATTGCCCAAAGCCAGTTATTGAGGTGTTCAATATTAAAATATTTATTTATTTTTAATTAATTTTTTTATATATAAAATTTTACAGTACTCGACAGGACATTGTAACACAAACATTACTTAGTACAGTACTGCTATTACACTACACTATATCACTAATACGAAATTTACAATAATGGTTACCTACACCACTGGTAATTAGATGCTAACTCAGGGAGGTAGCGTGGCCGAGTGGTCAGTGTGTCGGACTGGCAATCCGTCGTTCCTGGGTTCAAGTCCCGACCTGACCACTACCTGGATTTGTTTCACGGTAGCTCCGAGTTCAAATCCTCAGCCATGCTTGTAAATAGCCAACTGGTTTGCCTCTGGCCAGTTGGGATTCTTAACAATGTTATGTTCAATTTGAATTATTTGTTTACAGCCCACAATGTAAACTACTGGGTTACCAGTAATTGTGTTAGCTACTAATTTAATTTTTTTTTTTACAATACTATTCTTACATTATTCACATTTCTTCTTCTTTTTTCCTTCATTTTTATTATAATTTTGCAATTACATGATATGAACAAAAAAAAAACAAAAAAAAACAAAAAAAAAAAAACCACACAAAGAGGTTTGTTGACAATATTTGTATCTAACTACCTTACATCAAATTCTAAATTTTCCATTGCATTTTTATGTTATTTATAAATTGTAACTTATTTAGATTCATTCTCATTAATTTTACAACTATATATTATGTATCTTTTTACCCACAAGATAAGCAAATCCAGTCAGCATCGGAGGTTAATTATTGTGAATAGCAAGAGAGGGGTAATTCTGAAGTAAAATTTGGTCAAAAGATAAATATATGTGAGTGTTATTCAAAGTATTGAACCATGATTAAGGATTTCTTGATAGAATTGAATACTCATAAGGGCAATCTAAGAAGGTGAGTTCTAATGAAGCAGGAGTTTTACATTGAAAGCATAAGTCATCATTTCTGACCTTGAATTACTTGAGTTCCTTATTAGTGACCAATATCCTGTGGAAACTAAACCTTATAACCAAGTTCTCTTTATTTTTTGTCATTCACTGTTTTGTAAGGTTTGTGTAAGATCTGTTTCCATGCAAGTAGAATCTAAATTCACAAAACATCTGGACCATCTTTTAACAGTGGTAGGTTCTGTTCTAATCTTTTCCTGAAGTCGTTTGTAGTTAAATCTTTACATCTACATTTTAGTTAAAGAGATAACTTTATTTTTAGATAGATGGAAAATATTCCATTCCTCTTTGTTACAGCAATTGCCTGTGCTTTTCTCTTCAAATAATTTAGGATTGCAGCAATAAGTTGAAAATATCTTAAATATCAATATTAATATTCTCCACGATTCAATTCACAATATGGTTCTTGTGAAAAAAGGTCTAGCTGTCATGCTATTCTTGACATAATTAATGAAATTGAAACTAACATGGGTAAAAACTTTTCTAGAACTGTGACTCATCAGTTTAAAAATAGAGTTTATTGTAATAGTCATAAATAGTTACTATTGTAAGGGTTATAAATAGTTACTTTTGGAAACTTCTAGACTCTCTTCGGATGCCTATATAAGCAGCTCGCTAGTCAGGTTGTTGTTGTGATTTGGGACTTCGTTCCCTGTTTGTGATCTACAAGCGATATTGTGTGACAAGTGACAATTAAGTGAAGGGCTTTTCCCATTCGGATGTGAGACTGACATTCTGCTGTCAAGTCCAGAGTTGTTTACAGTGGAGTTCGATACTGTGAAGGAAGTCTTCAGGAGATTTCGTCAAAGAGAAGGACAGTATTTTGCTTGTGATCAGATAAGCGTAGAGAAGTACATAGTTAATTTTAGTTGGATTGTTCCAAGAGTAGTCGCTAGCTCGTGTTAAGTTATCTCCCTTTCTTTACCAGTAAATAAATTGTGTTTCGTGGAAATAGCGAGATTATTATCTTTCTGCCGGTAATCAGTTACCGTAACAATATCTTGAACAACCACACAGATATATTGACTAAGTTACATAACTTTAGGTTGAGAAAAGTTATAATATTGAATGCCACATTAAACTAAGTAGTTAATATTCAATAATGTGCAATTATAACACTAAGCTTGTGTTTTATTTACAATAAACATAACAGGTAAAAAAGCAAATTTTCACTATACAGCAGGAATGTTATTAACTACAGAACCCTAAACTCCCAGAAGTGATTAACATGTAACTTCTCCCTATAATATCCATACATGATCCAGCAAACAGGTAATGAGAATACTCAAACTTATCAGGTAGAAGTTGTTACCTTGATTGAACACCAAATTCTCCTAACCAATTTATAAGGAAATGTGTAGCAGCTAGA